ACTATCCTGGCCGAAACGTGTCTAATTGTTTTCAAATCTTCGGCTCTACATTGCTTTAAGCTGTGAACGATTACGGAGTAATCACGGAAATTTTCCACTACAGTCATATTTCAGTTTTGAATGTGACCAGCATGAGTTCTTTATACGTTTGAATAGGGCGCAATTCGGTGAAAGAGTGAGGGGGGAGCATTTTTTCTACTTTGCTGCTTCCCATTGTCGCCATCAGGTGGAGATTTGTGAACGCTTGTGAGGCCATTAAAGACAGCTCCCGCGATAAAAGTGTCATGGATAGTTGCTTTTCAATTATGAAACAGTAGCTGATAAGTAATTCCCCAAAGAAGAAAAAAAGCAAGAAGAGTCCTCAAGAACACCATAAACAAAATCGCTCCCTGACAGTCACACCTCCCTGCGGTCTCTGTGCAACCCCTGGCTCACAAATCCTTTATCACATCTCCCAGTAGTGGATATCATCCAATGCAAAGAAAAGAATACGAAAAACAACAAAAACACGGAAGAAAAACTCTTGAAAAGGAAAAGAAACTTTCAAAAACTCGGCGTCCGAATTTAGGGTTACGGTAGCGTGCATCTTTTAGTGTAGTATAGCGTCGAGCTTTTGCACCACAAAAATTGGGTCGCTCGTGATTTTATCGTTTTACCCTGCGGAATGGTTGAAGTTGACTGTATGTGCTTCTAATGAGTAAACTGTAATATGAGAGCAGAATCCTTCATGGGCGCAAGCGCGGTAAGCAAAAAAGGCATGCATTTCGATTAATGCCCGCCGCCCCAACAAAGAACAACTGAGCGGCCCTCCGTCAGAGGGCATCTAGCAAGTGGGCGGTCCAACTGGGCGGGCGTTAGAACTAGAACTTTCAGCGGCTGTAGCTCGCTCCTCGCTCGCTGTGGAGTCGCGAGAGTGGGACAGTCTCTAGCTTGGGGGCTGTACTACTTGCACAAGGAAGGACGACCAATACTACTCGAGCGCGGGGGCTGTCTTAAAGTGATACCGGTCAAAGTTGTAGAAAGTTCTTGTCATCCTTTGATACCTGTCAACTCATGTAATGCAAAGAATACGACGATGGGAAGCAGATAAAGTGCAAAGTGCCCCTTCCCCCCTTTTTTTTCGTTGACGTGCGCCATGAGTTATATTCATATGTGATTCATTAGTTGTTTGTTAGCCGTTTCCTAAATGTGAGTGTAAATGTGCGACCATAACATACATGAAAATCGCAAGTTTTGAAAGATGGTTGTTCTCGGTGCTAGCTTGAAATTCATTGAAGAAGGCGATTTAGGGACCACCTGTGCTTGCGGAGGACTTCCTCGACATCAACGGTCAGCCCATCAATCCGTGGTCGCGTATTTATCCTGAGGAAATGATACAGACTGGAATCTCTGCTATCGATGTAATGAACTCAATTGCCCGTGGACAGGTAAATTTTTCGCGTATTCTAGTCAAGATTTGACATTCTAGCCACTATGGTACCACTGATTCTATTCTGAAATTCTGAATTTTTTAGAAATCTATTTTCTCCCGCCGTGGTCTGCAGCCTCATATACGAAATTCGCTGCACAGATGTCGTGCGCAAGGGAGGTTGCTGTGTTTGTTTTATCCAAATGAGTTCAGGAATTTATGTCATTCCCTCTTAGGTTTGGTACAGCTCCCTGAACGCAAACATGATGCTTCGGATTCCAACTTCGCTATTGTCTTCGCTGCTATGGGAGTTAACATGGAAACTGCTCGTTTCTTCAAGCAAGATTTCGAAGAAAATGGTTTGTTGATCAAGATGCCTACTTAGTGGTTGACTCTTTGAGTATCGTTTTTGTAGGATCAATGGAGAATGTGTGCTTGTTCTTGAATTTGGCTAACGATCCAACTATCGAACGTATTATCACTCCACGTCTCGCCTTAACGGCTGCCGAGTTCTTCGCTTACCAGTGTGAAAAGCACGTGCTTGTGGTACTCACCGACATGTCTTCCTACGCTGAAGCACTTCGTGAGGTATGTCTGAATGCATTCATATGCATAACTAAAGTGAACGGCCGCGGTCGAACACTGCTATGGAGTCAGGCGCTCTCTGCAAAATTAACGGCTTACTGAATGAATCGCTAAGCTGTTAGGTTGGCCCATGACCCTTAAATAGCCTTACTGGCCCATGACCCTTAAATAGCCTTACACTTCTGCTGCTAGGGTCCCTAAGGAACCAATATTGCCCAAAAAGAATACTAGGTTCCGTAAGTGCTTCTATACCGGTATACATAGGCAAGTAACTGTCGATAACTTCCGATGTTCTGTGTGCTGTGGTGAGCAGCAGTCAAACTTACTGTTGACTGAAAGTGCATGCATTGCGGTACGACGAGAATATGGAGACATCTCCACACCTCATCAGCTTGCGGACTTATTTGCTCCCGTTGCTGGGGTGCGTCGGGAGAAGGGCTGGGTTTGACATGGCGCCAGTTTGTTTTCCACCATTTGTTGTAGCCTGTACTCTTCGACAGGTGGTGGAGAACGGGCATTCGCCGTGCTGAGCCCGGTTTCCCTGAAACGCCCTACGTTCCGCTACGAAAGAGTATAGAATGTTGTGGAGTTACAGAGTAACGCTCCACGTGTGCTGCAAATTCTATAGTGTAGTTCGCTGCGGACGGTTGGGCGTGTCAGTGCGGCTGCGTTTGGCGCGGTGCCAAACTCGTTCTACACCAGTTGTTGAAGCGGGCAAGTGACAATACTGTATCATATCCTTCGTATTACTAGTCTTCTACCACTTTTTGTCGCAGACGCTCTTCAACAAGAAGGCAGAGAACGGCTTTGATAGGGTGACACACTCATACTGGCTGACACGCCCAACCGTCCGCAGAGAACTATAGTGTACCTGCTGTGAACAGGACCTGTCATCATATGTTCACCGATTCTTCACCGAAGGGGGCACGCGGCAGTGTGATAAACTCGCTGTGCTCCCTGAGGCAAGGCCGAATGCTTGTTCTTCTGCGCTCCTGGTTGAGCCTTGGAAATGAAAAAGTTCACATATTTCGTAGCTCTGTCGTATCCCTCAGTTCAAGTATAGTGGCGCTATATGTTCAGCTTGAGTTCCATAGCTTCTTCGGTTCCCTGTCCATCATAGTTACCGGATATAAGATTGTTAAACAATCGCTCCTATGAAGTGAGTCAGTGACCTTAATTGAATCAGTGATCTTACACCGCGAGTGAAATCCCAAAACAAGAGCCCGATGTTTCTCCTATCAGAAGCCCGCAGCGGTGCGAGATCCGCATTGTCCAGCACCACGATACTGGTGCGATTGGTTAATTTTATTAATTTGTATAATTGAGCCAGAAAAAACAATATAAAGGACAAGGTGAAGAAGGTGCGAGGTTATTTAGGAGTAAATGTGATTCGTGATGAAACCTGAGAATGGTTGACCGTGATCTCAGGATGTGTTGAGCTTTTTTTCCTCTTATTTCTCTCTTTTCATTTTAATTGATTTTGCGCCCATTATTGTGGGCGCACTTCCCCATTTGGATCCTCTCACATTGCACCAATGTGAGAGGAGTCCTAGGAGTTGTACTAGTGTAAACACATTTTCAGTTCTTCTGTTAAGTTTGAGTAGAGTGATATTTGTAGGTATCTGCTGCTCGTGAGGAAGTGCCCGGACGTCGTGGTTTCCCAGGTTATATGTACACTGATTTGGCTACAATTTACGAGCGTGCAGGTCGTGTTGAGGGACGTGATGGCTCTATCACCCAAATTCCTATCCTGACTATGCCAAACGATGGTAAGATTTGTACTCCATGGCTCCTGCTTGCTGAATAGTTTATATTTAGATATTACTCACCCTATTCCTGATCTTACTGGTTACATTACTGAGGGCCAAATTTACGTCGATCGTCAGCTGCATAACAGACAGGTTCATTTTGTAATTTAATTCCTTTGTTGCCTTTGCTGACAATTGCTTCTAAAGATTTACCCGCCGATCAACGTACTGCCTTCACTTTCTCGTTTGATGAAATCTGCTATTGGTGAGGGTATGACTCGCGAAGACCACTCCGATGTATCCAATCAGGTACGGGAAGTTTTCTATATTTACTTGGTGGAGGTATAACCTGATGGTGCTTTCAGTTGTACGCCTGTTATGCCATTGGAAAGGACGTGCAAGCAATGAAGGCTGTAGTAGGAGAAGAAGCTTTATCTTCAGATGATCTTTTATACCTTGAATTCCTGGTTAAGTTCGAAAAGAACTTTATCACTCAAGGTTGGTTTGGGTTTTTTTCTAGTTATCACTATCGCTAACTATGAGACATTTTAGGAAACTATGAGAACCGAACCGTTTTCGAGTCGCTTGATATCGGATGGCAACTTCTCCGTATCTTCCCTAGGGAAATGTTGAAACGAATTCCAGAAAGCACCCTTGAAAAGTATTACCCAAGAGGAGGAGCGAAGACGGAATGAACTACGTCGTTTTTTTGAGTGATATACCTTGTAGCACGTTGTCCAGAATGTCGCCCACTGAGCTCGACCCTCCATATTCTCAACTTATGCTTGACATGATCGGACGTGATATGTTTTACCCCAGTAGCACCAAGATAGTGATTATATGTATAATAATATAGTAGAGTGAGATTCGCATGCTGTAGTTTTGTGATATTTGAAAACATTCCGTTCCTTTGTTCAAAGGATCGTTGGCGTCTCGTTATGAATTATAACAAAGATTCAAGCAATAATGCCAATTTCGATGAATTTGTTTCTTTTTTTTCTCACAAGAGTGACCAAAAGGGAGTCTTTGTAAAAGTTGTTAAATTGTGCGATCGATAGTAGTGAATCTTGCAAACTCGTTTTGATATACGCAGCAACTGAAGATGAACAGAAAACTGGCACGCCAGTGGTGGTAGCGACTTCGAACATGGTGTCAGCGGAGATCAATGCTCCGCAGCATATAGTTGCAGGAGGGGTTCCGCTTTGCTGCTCGTGTAGAACGAGTGACAAGAGCGTAGGAATATACCGCCCTGGGCGTGGTGGTTATGCCCCGTACGCGAGAGGTCAGTTGCGGCACCCAGACGTTTTCATTCAAATGTCA